GAACTCCAATGGAGACCGGCGCTGGAGAGGAATAGGTCGAGCCTATTCTCACTCGGAATGATCTGTCTGATAGGAACGCCTTGATCCAGCGAAGGATTTTCCCTTGAATCCCGTGAGACTCGAGTTTGTGGAGCAGCGGGACGTGTGGGACCCTATCAAATGCTTTTGAGAAGTCGGTGAATCGCTTTGGCACGCTAAAAAATAGTACAAGTGCACAAGGCCAATGCACATTGACCTCTCTTGTCTTAGCGTGCGTGGCCTGACAGTATCCAAGCCATCGTGCTTCATTCGGGTGGCATGAGAGCTAGGGACGAAAAGGGGTGCAACTGGGTTTTTTTCACCATTCTGCAACAACTGTTGGAAGTCTGACCATTGTGCTACGCGTGGCCATAGATTAATTCAATGTGCATATTTGATACCACGCGCAGAGACAGTTCACGACCGGTCATGTTCAAAGCGTGGGTAACGTCTAGCCCACTGGTTTGTATATTAGAGCGCAAGCGCTCAGCCTATTTCTCAGACGCTGCCGCCGTCAAAGGGCAGCCTCATCTCACGTCGCCGCAGATTCCGGAGTGACGCAAAACCACGAAGTGTTCAAGCTCTTTGGGTTGCGTAGGACTGACCGACAGACAAATGCCGCCTTAAACATCGTCACGATGTCACGAATGTCATGTGGCGTCAATAATCTCTATTCTTCGCTGCCTGCTGCGATCGTGGAAGCAGGGACGAAGGACCGTACTCGCTCTTCAATGTGTATTAAAGGCCGTGATGTCCACCTGGGATTCGAGAGCCTATTCAGTTTGTGATTTCTTAGGGCAAGCTTTCCGGGTTTATCCGTTCAACGACGCTCGGGTGCCTGCCACACCTAGTGGGAGAAATTACTGGCTAATTTATTATATGTAATTTTGGAAGATTTTTCACCGCCCCGTACCGTATACAGATGAGGCGAGAGGCAAACCTTCATGGACCTTGCTTGTCAGGTCCCATCAGAAGCCACGAAGGCCTAGGGAAGGATTCCACGTTCCGCAAAGTCGGTGGATACACGGAAGATAGCTGCTTCCGCGGCAGCCCGTTTGAGTTACCCAATGGGGGCTACGTACCTCCGGCGAATTCAGCATTAAAGCCGTTCGTTCTGTTCTAGAAGACACACGACCAGGGTCCCATGGGATATCCAGAATTCCTTAGCAATCCCCCTCCACATCTACTCGGCGAGTCTACCGACCCAGTTGTTTCACAGTTCTGCTCCCCTACCGCCTCCTGCGTCACAAATCCAACAACTAGAGCCCTGGCTCAAACCCGGATTTCAGCCACCGACCTGGAGCCCATCGGCTCATTTCCTCTTTAAAAACCATAGTCGCTCGCAAAGATCATAAATTATATTTTTCCGACTTACTCGATAGGATTGCTTGTCTTACCACGCAAATTTCTCAGTTGATAATGATAGCAGTGCCCTCCCAGTTCACCACCGTACCATGACGACCAGTCAACTTTCAAATCCCGTAGTTCGGGCCGTTCACACGCCCACCAAGTGTGACGGCCGGTAAACTTTCTCATCCGTAATGTTTGGTACTCACACAAGAGCACACCCTTTCTTTCCTCTCATCTTCACATATGCGGGCCAATACCAATATGTATATCTGCACATTTCGGAACCGACGTGTGCCGTCACTACATCTTCCCGAACGTCGAAAACCACTGACTTCCTGACCTCGAGCTCTACCACTGGGGTTGACAAAGTGGATGGATAAGCAGTGCGGATAAATGGTGGCAGGTTGATCAGGTGGCAATAAGAGTTCCTTTGAGACATAGCGTCCACCGTGTGCTGACGTTTTATTTCATCTGCTACTGGGCCGGAAATCTTGAACAACAAACTTGGATTCGAAACTTCTGACGTGCAAATTTTTAGTGATGCTCATCTTCCTTGAATAAGTTAAACTGGAACCAGCATCCGTGAAAGACTTATATAAGACCATTTCCCATAATTTCACAAAGATGTAGCGATGTTCGTCTCGAAAAAAGCAGCACGAAGTAAGGTTAACCTCAAGCTACCTAAAAGAATTCGGCGTCTTCTAAAAAGAGGTCTCAGGTATTTTTTTCAGAAAGCTGACTACAGGAGATGAGCTGACATTTCGTTAAATGCTCAACTGCTGTAAATCAGAAATCTGCCAATGGAACGTAGGAAAACAAACAACCATTCTGGATCTCGTTTGGGAAAACAAAATCGCGCGATATCGCCACAGAAACAAGCCATCTGTGTTCTCCTTAAGGAACATAAATGGGGAACCAGCGAGTGCCTCAATAGTGGTGTCTGACGCCTACAGTGAGCTTGTGCAGGTCTGTATTCAGTCCCAGCCTCCACGACACATCCAATCCTGTCAAGGCGTAACAATGTGTGGCCTTAACCTACTTGGTCTTCGCCGTGGAGGACATTCATAAGCTGTTGCATAAGATCAATTCATTCTGCGCGTTAGGGTATGACGAAGTCCATCCAAGGATCTTGAAGGAAATGTCGTTTACACCTACAACTCATTTCTGTCTAGTGTTTATTCAGTCGCTTGACGAAGGCAGACTTCCCTCTGCTTGAATGGGAGCGATTGTCTTGTCAATTTACAAAACTGGCGACCGGCTATCGCCGGGCTTCTGCGGGCTTGTAAGCCACACTAGCGTGCCGTGCAAGGTGATGGACCGAATTCTGAAGCAAGCCATCTAGTTCATTGTACAACTAACAACTTGCTATCTACGGTTCAACACGGACTCCTCCAAAACAGTTTCTGCGCGACGAACATATTCGTGTTTATGGACAGCTTATCCCAAGCCACAGCCGAGGAACTCATTCCATACGCCATATTTTCCGACTTATCAAGAGCATTCGATCGAACCCCGCATGTCCAGCTGCTCCACAAATTTTTGTCTTACTGGATTCAAGGAAACATCCTACCCTGAATCAAGGAGTTCCCGTCAGAGGGGTCATTGGCAGTGAGAATAGACTCGACCCAGTCTTCTTCAGTACCCGTCTCCATTGGCGGTCCTCAAGGCTCCGACCTGGGACTACTGCGGTTTCCCAGCTACGTCAACGACCCTCCAGATGCTCATGCAAGTCCATTTCCACATTTTGCGGACGACTCAAAATCCATGGAGTTCCGACACCGGTGCCCTACATATGGATGTAGACGCTGCAAAGTGGTGGTCATTGGACTGGCATCTTCCCTTGAATTAAGGGAAGTGCGTCCACATGTAATTTGGTGGAAGCTCAGCAAGTGACATTGTCATGCAAGATGAGATAGGGCCGGAGGATGCCCAAAAGGATTTGCGTATCTGTCTCTTTTGAAACATGTCCTTCTCACTGCACCATGAGAAATCTGCCCGAAAGGCATTCGCCGTTATACGGATGATTCGGCGCACCTTATTCCGTATTACTCGCATCAACTTTGAAATACCCTATGAAGCCTAAGTCAGACCACTCCTTGAGTATCTCAACTAAGTTGTCCGCTCAGAACGCACGAAAAACGTAACTCTTGACGAGCGCGTCCGGCTGCTGCTGCCGGGCTCAAGTCCGTGGAATATGAAACCCGTCACTCAATGCTTGACCTCTTTCCCCTGGAATAAAGTCGTCCCCGGAAAGACCCACTTCTTACTTATGCCCTTTTTGATCAGGGTTTGCCCAACCGGTTTTTCATCGTTGACCCATTAAACACATGTCGGCAACATGGTTAGAAGATTTTCAAGCTCAGAGCGCACATTTCGATGGGCGAATTTTTTATCATTTATGGTAGTAGCTGCGCGATTGTTCACGCTCCTTCTAGAGCCCAGTTTAAAGCATTATTAAACATGCCTTAATGCCAGTCTTTGCACTCGCAGGCATACTGCCCAACGTTGAGAACTTAAAGAAAAATGCAACACCTACATTCGCTTGCAGCTTTGGAGTGAACCACGGCCGCATAACGACAAGAACATAACCGACGTGGGACACTTGGGCAAAAGCCCCAATCCTATGTATCAATCCGTGTTCTATGAAGGTGCACAGTGAAACTGTAGAGACTCACTGGTGTCGTCGTTGTGGTGGAGCCGGGTGTAAAAGTTCCTTGGTATAGTGTGTTTGTGACAACACAAGCAGGAACGCGAACTCTACAGAAAATTATAGACTTTTTGGAGACCACGGCTTGAAGGTCCACCGAAATGATTAAATCCGAACGAAGGGTTCAGGGTGAACGCGTCCTGGAGAAGGCTGGGGCAGTGTGAAGTGTTTGTTTATACATGCAGCTAAGTTAACGAGCGGGCGAGGGGATACGGTCAGAAGTAGGAAGGGAGTGGTTGCGGGCGTGCTATCGAACTCGACATGGCAGTGTCGTGCCAACATAGTCCTGACGCACATCGGTCTTTTGGACAGCCCTGTAATAGACGTCGTGTTTGAGGCCATTGGGCTTGGGTGTGCAAGTCTTTGAGCAGCAGGATTTTTTCGGGGTGGCCAAGGAAATCTGCGAAGTTGTAGCAATGTCGATGTTGGGTCACAATGTTTTCTAGTCAGGTAAAGGGCTCACTGCTGGTGCAGAACACAGTCCAGTTGGTGTGGATTTCGGCCAAACTCAGCCTCGAAACAGATATTGCGAATTGCAGAATCTTGGGAACACGAGAGAGTTAGATGGCTTCAGTGAACCTCGGTGAACCTGAGTGGAAATGATGTAGGATAATGTGCATTAATAAGGAAAAACCTGACGTTTACCGCAACTATGATGGTGGAAACAAGGAATCAAACGGGACAGGACAGGGTTGAATTTGTACTGATTTGGCTGGCGAACAAACTGGAGTTGCATTTCCGTACATGATATTAAACTGAAGGAGAACTAGAGAAAACCGGTAAGAGCACGCAGAAAGGTGGCGCTGCTGGGGAAATCAGGCGCATAAAAACTGACGGAAGTAGGCTTCCAATATGATGGAACAGTTTAGCTGAAATTTGGCACGTGGGTTGGACTGTACATTAGTCCAGTAGAGGAGCTTAAGGTCAGAGAAACGGTCGCGAGTCCCCCAACCAATGCTGCCGGTGAAGTTCTTGGCCATCTTGCTCGGCCTTACCAACCAAAGTCCATATAGTCTGGAAATAGATGTTTGGTGAGGAAAACATTTATTGACGAGGAATATTTCAGCGACGGCATTTTGTGAGGGCGTTTTTCGAAAATTATAGCTATTATAATGAGTTCATTTCCCAGCTTGTAAGAGTATATCAGATAAGGCATATAAGTGCGATTAGCTTTTGTCAGCTTTCTAAGAATATAATCCCAGAGAAATATTATTGGTGATAATTTTGTGACATTAGGAAAAAGGTTTTCTGTTTCACGTAACGGTTGTCGAATGTTTAGGTAAGTTCGAGGTAATAATATGTCTGGTTGTCTTGGAAATGTATCAGACTGTTCAAACTATTGCCAAAAAGATGTCATTTTAATACACAGTCAAAATAAACGTAAAATATGTGAAAGTGTTGACTCAAAATACACTAAAACTTCAAAGAATTTAATTTTAGCTTGCTCCAAGGAAGCAGCAACGCAGACACAGACAACAGCCCACCAAAGGCACAGCCAAAACGATGTTTACTCACAGTATGAATACACGATCATGGTTTAACGGCTCTCTTGAAAGTCACGCGAATTAGGGGGACAATCAGCAAGTTTAGTTTTCTGCGGCAGACGCCAAGACTGAAATATGGCAAACTAATAATTCTGGTATCGCATCCTCTGGCTTGTTGTTGAAGAATACTGTTCTAATCAAGGCTTCGTTCCCGTTAGCCATTGTAATGGCGGTGTTTTCTCAGTTATCGACCTGAACCTCCCAACCTAGCACTCCTGTCAAAACTATCTCCAAAAGTGCATCTGTGGTAACGCCCAGAACCTAGCCAACAACGTGTACAACGCTTTGTTCCTAAAGGGTATGCGGCTAAAGTGTTTCGGAAATTCTGACGCCTTCTGGGCGCGTGATTGGCACCCGTCTTGATGCTGGACTGACAAGCGACTGAACCTTTTGGCCAATGTGCGGAACGAACATCTTGGCCGTAACAGAGCCCAACTGTGAGCAGTAAAGCGGTATCGGCGCAGAATTCCGTCTATTAGTCCTTCATGCTGACAAGAAAAATATTACTACAACAGTATCTGTAGGTCCATCACACAATGTTCCACAAGGTTGCCTTAGAATCTTCATTAGGGGGACGAGAGTGGTCGAGCTGTAGACGCTCTGTCCAGATTGGCTGGCCTTCTGACCAATCAAGGCACAAATTCGCTCAGTCCGTAGCTCGTATGTGACGCACCCGTTCAACGGACGTCATGCTGTCATTTCCAGATTGGCTTCTGACCAATCAAGGCACAAATTCGCTCAGTCCGAAGCTCGTATGTGACGCACCTGTAGCACTTGTAAACTGCTCTTTTCTTTTCTCAGTATCATCTTCTTTTTTCCCATCATTACCAGTCACATCGCTGTACAAAAGTTTGTTTTACTGAAATACAACCGCTACCGCCCGCGCGTTGGCTCCAACGTGACTTTGAGACTTCTGCTGAGTGACTGTTGTTGTGACCGCCG